AGGGATTGCAGACATGTTCATCACCTTCCAAAGCAAGTGCAAGCCTGCTTTAATAAAGTAGTATTATAATTTATTTATTATAATTGGTCAAACTAGTTCAATAGGACTATGCTGACAGTTATAAAGAACAAGTTGTAACACTTGAATATTATTTAGCTGGAAAAGATTATCGACATCATATACTTTTCTGTTTTGCTGCAAAAGTGGCGTGACCTAATATGAGGTTTTGTATCGTGTTCATTAACATTTTCATTATGCTCGATTAAACATTGCTATATATTGTGCTGGAATAAGATATTGGTTGATCCAGTTGCAAAAAATTTGGATTTGCTGTTAAAACGTAAAGCGTAATGTTTTTAAAACCAATTTTTCAAAAAGTCGTTTAGCTATCGACCTAATTCAGAACCATTCTTATACTATACCATTAATTAACATTTGTCGACTATTATTTTTTTTTTGGTATTTGAATCCCATATCTCGAATTACTGTATATAATAAAATTCGTGAACCAGTAAATCTGAATACTCTTTTTGCAAAATATAAATAGTTCATTATAAAACTTCAGCTTCAAGCTCTTCTCGTTTCTAACATAAAATATGTTACAAATTGTCAATCTACCCCAGAAAAAAAGTATAGCACAAAAAGAATCTATAAAGAAGGTAATGTGATTTTATCACATTGATCATCAATTATTTGGTTATAATTTGATCACCAAATAAAGATGCAACATATTTCATTGTAAATTTGATAGGGTAATTTATTATAGCAACTTTTATTATAGGCTATAGACAACAGTACCTTATACATTAAAGTTACCACATTGGATAGCGAGAAATTCAAAATTGATCGACCGGAAATAATCTGGCATTTGTTCACGGAAGGGTGTGAATTTGAAATTGTTCGTCTACCCGAGAAGAAGGTAGAAGCCTCTTTTCGTTTCTAAGGCGAAGGTCTCGAAAATCACGTCCATTTTCCGATTGGATTGAAATGTAGACTACGTCGGTGTCCTCATGCGGAAACAAGTTTACTCGTGAAACTGAACGTCCTGTTTCAACTTGTTCTAAACCTTTTCTCTTATTCTACTATCTGTTCTTACGATGTGTGATACTTTTTCATTATCACTTACATTTTTATATTTCATTATGTCGCTTTGTTTATGTATTACGTGAAAGCGAAAATTTTAGAGCTTTTGATGTTATAATTTATAACATTTAACTTCATGTCACAGACAAAGTGTAGGGATTTGTTTTAAATTTTTATGAAGACTTGATAGTACTTTTATGTACTGAATTTTTTTTTTAGCAAGGAAAACGTTGTTCCTCTTTTATGCATGTATGGGGGTACTTTAAAGTGAGGTGATATAAAATGCTCTATGCTCAACTAAAGTTGCTTTGTAGCGTAACATAATAATATAATGCCACACTAAAAAAGATTACGTAAACTTTTAGTACGAGGAAACTTTTCGTTTTACTAAATCGCACTCTTTGAATAATTTAAACTACCTACGGTCGGAATTACGACCGACTTCCTGAAATAATAAGATTCAAAGTATTTTATTCAAGTCGCCGGAAGAAAAATGCCAGAGAGATTTTCCAGTGGCTACATCCATGGGGAAGGATATCGAAATTGAATCAGCATAAATGGAACTGTTGGGTTCAGAACGATTTTCCTACCTCTCGCTCCCCACAAACTTAATTTCGGCTCCATTCTACGACTTCTTTTGAGAGCCACGCGGTTCATTGGTCCATATCTGTTTGTCCAAGAGTCGCTGCTTTTTGGACAATTTTAAAAGTTCCCCGATTTTCGATAGAACTCAATCACATTAGTCGAGGAGGATATCGTGTTTAGAGAAGGTCCGGGAAATTCGATTACTTTGTACTACACAAAAAAAATTCTTCTTCGTGAATTAAAAGTATTTTTCACATTAAAAAAAATCCTCATAATACACAATTTATTCGATTGTTGTTAAGTGGTTACTTACTTTATCAAAAGCTTTATCTGTTATTTACAAAATTGATTTACTGACGCTATCATAAAAGGATCTGGGTTAAAATATGCTTATGTTGTGTAAATATCAACATTCAATTTATATTTTCATATATAACCTATTTATTAATATATCAACAATTTGTTAATATAAGTACATTCGTGCGAAATATCTTTTCTTGAATAGGTTTATTTTAACGAATAAGGAATCTGTCGCCATTGAGATTATATAATCATAATTATTGAAAGAAACTAACATTGAAGAAGATCGAAATATTTCGCTTTACGCTTAAGTATTTCCGAAAATGCAATTTCATCCTCAAAACCCTGTTCGAGGAAAGTAGTGAAAGAAATAAATTGTTGTGGCCATTTGTGTCTGAAAAACAAATGGACGTTTCCAGAAAAACAGTTTGCGAAAAGCTTTCTCCTTTAACAATTTCAACTCAGAATGTTATTAGTTTACAAGCGTTACTACAAGGTAAAGCAATGCATATCTAAATGATCTAAATTAAAAAAATCTAACTATAATTGCTATTTTCATCTAACTAAGAGTGCATTTAACAATATAAAACTTTTAATAGTATGTATAGGACAATTCAAATGCAGTTTTAAGGTGACTAATATTGTTTTCCCAGTCTAATATAATATTCTAAGTGAGATGAGAATCCTAATACCAAGAAGCGGTGTGAATTTTTTGATCAGACTTGGCAGAACGTTTAACTACTGAAACATGCCAATTAATTAAAGTTTTAAAGGTTAAGTTCAATATATAAACATAATTTTTTATTAATGATGGTTTGTTTGTCTCTGTGACATCGATTCTGATAGAAAGTCGAATTTCTTTTGAGGTGATTATCTCCTGAAGAACCTGTAGTTCGTGTTATAGAACTTGAACATAGTTCAAAGATTAAATTATTAGCAAAATTATTATCATAATCCATATTAGATGGAGTACAAAACAATTCTACATTTTAGAATAGAGATACTCTTAACAATCTCTTTTCTACTACCTTTACTAAAATCTTCTTTTCTCACCGATAGCATTTATGGTTGATGAGGAATGGTATTTAAGAAAATCACTTCTCTTGAGACCATCACGATTTGCGTGATCTAACCAATAACTACTGTTTAGCTAATGATAATCTGATCTAAATAAAAGGTGAATTCACAAGGGGATGATGGGCGTCCATGTCGACTAGAGGGTCATCGCAGGAAAACAGAGTGATTTAAATCAAAATTAGATAAAAATAGACCTAATGTTGTTCTACCATGATAATTTTCAATGTTGTTGAGCTCCAAGAAACAGCAATATGAAAAACGCTTTAAGGGACGATCGGAATATTGAAATCCTCGATGATTAATAGCGGGGTATCAAGCTATCAACCTTGCACATACTTGATGAGCAATGTAGTTTGAGCAATGGCTATTAAGTAACTAAAATGTACAGGTGTCCCAAATTCGTTGTCCGCATAGGCTATCTCCGAAACTAAAAGAGATAGAAAAAAGTAGCTTATGATCTCGTTTTTCGAGAAACTGCTAATGCCGAAAACTGCGAACAGCTATCGTCTTTTGTTTTTGCCCTATCGGCAAAAACTGAAAAACTTCGAAAACCCCAAACGCTAATATCTGAGTTATTACCACAGATGGAGTATTATACTGAAACATTGTATGGAGAACTTTTCACGAAAAATTCAATAGAGTAGGTGGAAAAAGGTAGAAAGCTGACCTATCCTAACATTCCTTCACGCTATAATTGGGATTTCAAAAGAAAACTAACCTATTCTAACATTTCTTCACATTATGATTGGGGTTTCAAAACTGACCTAACATTACCCAATATTTTTTCAGAGTTTGTTGGCTTCTGTAAACAGACTAACCTAACGCAACTATCCTTTCTGAAAGTCATTGCACATTCTTTAATATTTTGCTAATGCATAACTATATGGAGTTTTGGGCATTAGCAATTTCTTCAAAAACCAGATCATGACATGTAAGCTACTTTTTTTCTATCACTTTTAGTTTCAGGGATAGCTTATGAGGACAAGGAATTTGAGACACCCTCTATTCAGTGACATAGATATCGCAAGATCTATAAGGAGTAGGAATTTTTCATAAAACTTGGTAGAAACGTAATTTGTAGTGTAGAGCGCATGATGCAACAAGTATCTCAGTCTTCTTCCCGTATTGTCCTAAACATGCTTCATGGGTAAATGGCGAGGAGATACCTGTGCAAAAGATTTACATTACCCTCGGGGGCGGTCATTATCCTACTGTAAAACTCAGCGTTCCAACTGCTGAAGAAATGAAGGAATATGGGATTCTACTACATCATCCACATGTTGCTGAATTGAACATCAAATCGGAGCTATTCGCATAAGTTATAGCGTAATTGGTGTGTATTTGTGAAATTGTAATCTATTTTTTCAGCTAATGATTCAGTTTGTTTATCTTGTTAATTACTTCTAAAATATGGCAGCGGAATGGCATTTTCTTTACTTCTTGCTTCTCTGCACTTGATGTCATGTTTTATATAATCCTAAGTCGCGAGTGTTAATAAGTGTCGTTTGGAAAACACCTTCCGACATCTTCAATCTTTAATTTCAATGTCTAAATCGCCGCATCGAAATGCAACTTCTTACAATATTAAGTAGGGCTATATTCAGATTAATTCCACGAGGAATGCACAGTCTAAACATTTTTTTATGGTAAACCCATAGTTCAATAAAAATCTGACGCTTCATTAAATAAATACTAAAGAAATAGTGCATAACAACTTCTGATATTTAAAAAAATACTGATAGTCTAAAAAAGTTATTAAAACGTGCATCTCGTTCATACATACAGATAAAATGTAAAGATATCAAAGATATTTCTCAATTTATGCTTGTTAGTTCTCATATGATATTTGTTTATAAATTATCCAACTTACTAATCCTGATTATAAATAATATTGCACTCTATAGAGGATTATTGAAACACACTACAATTAACATTCAACATTAAACTTACCGTAAAAATAATTACGCTTCAATTTTAATGGAAGCTTCATACGGTGGAGGTTCCTCCTCGGTAATCAAATTCAATCTGACGGTGTCAGCAGCAGAATCATAAATAACCCCAACGGACGACACCAAGACGTTCTCAACTTCAACGCTGTCGACCTTTAATGGTGGCGGTGGAACAACTCGTTTTTCTTTTAAAGAAACCGCTCGTTGTACGCCAGACGGAAGAAGTGATTCTTGTTGAGTTTCATTGTTGCCATTACACGTACGTTCGGATCTCCAATTGCTAATACGTCCGGAATTTATGTTTCGAATCGAACTATCAAAACATGGTAGGACTTGTTTGAATTCTTTTCGAAAATTTTCGTTAAGCCATGCGTAAAGAAACGGGTTGTAACAAGTTGACGACATTGCCATAGCGTGTGCCATAAAGAAACTTAAGAAATAGTAACGCCATTGGCCTGCTTTATCTGAGAAGTCGTTAACGATGTTAATGACGTTGAGTGGGAGCCAGGATACGAGGAAAATAACGACCATTGCTATAAGCATACGGTTTGTCCTTCGTTTCCGTTCACGATCAGCTTCTTCTTTGCGTGAGCTTTTTGTCCCCGGTTTGGATTTAGCGCGATCGTTTAAACGCAATGAAACGCAAATATAACAAAATGCGATTAAGAAGAACGGGATAACGAATTGCATCAATGTGGTAATACCTCCAAATAACTTTCTATATTGTTCTTCTGGCCAATTTTCTTCACAGAAATATTTAGTATCGTTTGGGTCACTACTAGTATCATTATTATTATCCTGATTAGTATCGTTAGTAGTATCACTGTGTTTCATATAGATACCATAAGGAAGGGTTGTTAAAATTGAAAACAACCAAATATTAAGAATGATAATGATACATGTTGACAGCTTCATTCTTGGATGGAACGGATAGATGATTACAAAAAATCTATCGATTGCTATCGATGTTAATGTTAAAGTGGAAATATAAACGCTTGTTCCTTGTGCGAATGGTACTAAATGACAAATTATACTTCCGAATATCCATTTACCCAAAAATGTATACAAAGGCGTGAACGGAATGGCAAAACCGCATAATAAAATATCGGAAACTGCCAGATTAGTAATAAATAAATTCGTCACTGTTTGCATTGCTTTGTTTCTGAAAACAACATAACACACGAGAACGTTTCCGAAGATACCCAATATAAAAATCGAAGTGTACAACATAAAGAATGTCACTTGCACAATTTCTTGTTCTATTATTTCCGTACTGGTTACGTTACCGGTAGAGTTCTGTTCGTTTAGATCCATGTTATTCGTCTCGTTGTAGTGCATTTAACGGTAAACACAGAAATGTCACATTAAAATAGTAATCGATATCACGGAGTCGCTTATTCACGCACTACTAATTTCACGGTTCACTTCTCTGCGATCCAAGTTTAGCACATTTAGGTTCAATTATTTTTGGATTGTGTTTGCCAATGTGTTTAACTGGTTTTTGTGAGATGGAACTCCTTACCTTTAACAACGAAAACATTTACTTTAGTGTGAGATGTGATAATTATTTATATACGTATGATGGGAGATGGAATAGACTACGATAATTCGTTTTACTTTGTTACCAACTACGATTATTTTTTCAATAAAAAATAATATATTTTTCTTCTTTCTCGACAAATAAATGTGAAATTTGTAAATACTGATGAACGGAGTATTTAATTTAACAAGAAAGTTTTTATTGTTAACATTAACTAATTGACTTAAATATCAGAATAAATTCCTGAATACATCCATTCTTCATTGATTAAAGTAAATTAAGTAAATTTATAGAAGTTTTGGATTTATTTCATATTGTTTTAAATTTTTATATAAGATTCTACTGAAGATGAGGATTGTTTCCTCGAAATCGATTTAGAAGTATAATAAAATAAAAAGCAAGAAAGAGGAAAATTTTGTTTTATTTAAATTGACATCCATTCTTGTTTAAAGCATTTCCTTATGGTATGTCTATCTTTTTTGATAATTTTATTATATATCTTAATACGAAAAGATAAAAATATTTCAATAGTGATGAACGGAAAATGGAATAGTAAAAAAACAAGTATTTAGCCCCAATTTGAAGTTACTATTTTCATTGTTAAGTTCTGGAATGCCCAACGCCATCGATCAACATCAGGTTAAAAGCCATCTGGGTTAACACGTCTATTATAGCCATGTAATGGACAACGCGTAAATTGATTACAGACAAAAGGTTAGTGAAGGCGAGTGAAATTGGGACATGTGCAAAAATGCGATGATTAAGCATTATAGGTAATAAGTTAGAAGAATTAATAAGTAGGAGTTAAGTATTGAGTATTGTAATGTTAACACGTAAATAAAAAAGTAATAAAACTGTCGACACAATATTAAGTATTTTTTTCATTAAATAAATACAACTAAGAAGCTTTTACAGCCACTTTGTCCATGAATTTACCAATGTAAAAATTCGTAAAAATGAGTGATCATACAACTGGAAAGAAGAATACAGAATTACTTATCAACAATAGGAACCGTAAGAAAAAGGCGATATTGAGTTATTCGTGGACAAGATGGCAAATACTTTTTGAAATAGAGATTAAAACACGATCAAAAACTCGTAGAAATAATTATGTAACCAGATGAGAACTTTTGGCTACCTTCAAGTCCATCAAGAACTTTTGGAAATATTTCTATGGCTTTAGGTTTTTCTGGATCAACTACGCGGAATTACGGAAGTCAGTTGATGAATTGAACAGGAGGATAATTATGACAACAAAAATCACCTAAGTACCGGATATTGCAAAACCAATATCCTTTCTAGAAGATCATGTACACCTGACTGGGGTCATTGATCTGGAGGGCCATAGTGTAAGATTATGAATGGGCATCAGAAACCTTGAGCTGAGACTAAAAAGCAAATTCATAATTGCTATACAGTGAAACCGAAACAAAAAGAAGAGTCTCGTTTTCTGTTATGATACTAAAATCAAATGTATTCGAAAGGTGATTGTTCTGCTGTATTACTGGGTGAGAGAGATATACATTGACATCTGCATGATACGACCTTAACTTATTTACCTTAATTAATGACTTAATAATTCATTTGTTGAATTCGCCATAAATTAAATAACGATAAACCATCCGAGTATTGCCACAATTGCAATAGTATTAAAAGGGAGCAAACTTTCTGCTCGATATACTAACGACAAATACAAAGTCCATGAACACCAGATTTCCATGTATTAATATAATAAATAACACAACTTAAAAAGATTGAACTCCTAAAAGCAGTATCTAATAAATATTAGGTTTATTTGAATCGGATATCAAGTTATTCTGTTTATCTCATAGTGTAGGTGAAGATAATTATATGAAAAGTAAGCAAAAATCATTATATCCTATATTCCCACGAATTTGTAATTTTTACATTAGAGATTATGTACTCAACTGTAGACGCAGAGGGTTGTAGTGTCACAGACAATGATGCTGATATCTGCATTATTCACCGAGTGACCATTTTTTTTCAATTATATAGCTTGAGTTCAGACTTATTTTACACCATCGACCGTGTACCAATATCTTTTAAATAAGATAGTTTAGAACCTCCAGTTTGAAATCACTTATTTTCATTACCAACGGACAATAAAGAATCAGGTTTTCAACAATTAACTTATTATTTTCGTTTACTTTCAATTTTAAAATAATTTGTACACATCTTTTCTTTGCTTAAAATTGCTCATATTTTGACCTACTCTGGCGTTGTCCTAATATAAGCCAGTTTTAGTAGATACCGTATTACATATTTTTGACCATATTTTTACGCCCGAAATGTCTGCAGCAATCCTACATCCTATTTACTACGTGCATACATTATCTGATTTTTATCTTGACAATATTAGTACAATGGTAAATGTTTCAAAAATAAATGAACCTAAGAATTCTCAAAATCATTAGTTCTGCATCGTTATGCATGCAGAACGAAAACTGAATGAAATTGCGCACAAATTGATAATAAACATATGAAATTGTATTTTCTGCTTATGTTTTGATCAGACAACAACCATAAAAATGCACTATTATGCAATGTGACTATACACAACAAATCTTTAAAGTAGAAGTGAGGTAAAGAATGAAAACTTGTATTTAGCATGGTTTCCTCTAAGAAACGTGCCAAACTAATATAAGCTCTGATCCACTGCAACGTTTGTTTTCACAAACTACAAGAACGTTCAAGCCAGTTGTATCTACGAAGTAACTCTCAGAAGGATCATGAGATATTTCTGAAAAGATTAAAAAGAACAAACGGCATGTTCGGAACTACAATGAGAAAACTAAACTCATGCTTAATCTGAGTATTGGGTAACATTGCTGGTCAACTGCACCTGGACACAATCTTACCTGGGGTAAACAAAGCATTATCGACAACCAGTGAAACCGTAAATCAACGAAATAAAACTGAAGGGAACAAGTAAACCCACATAATATAAAGGTTGTGTCACTCAAGATACTTGTATTGCAGCTAAAAAACGAATGCAGATTTTGTCATCTGCTAGAAGACACTGATTCCATATAGATACTATCTATGTACACAAATACAGTGGAACCTCGCTTAACGAGTACTTCTCATAACGAGCATTTCGCATAACGAGTAAAATAAATTGTCTCGCTTAACGATGGATGTTTCGCATAACGAGTGACACGCATAGGGGAAGTCCCTTATTCTCGTCACTCGGTTGTGCGTTGAAACTTTCGTCGCTAGTGCTTTGTCTTTGTGTTTACCACTTACTACGTCAATGTTTTAGTGACGCTTTAAGGTTTAATAACTATTCATAATATCCCCGACAAATAAGCCACAAGAAACCAACTATGTATAAAAGAAGAAAAATAACCTTAGAAACGAAACAGGAAAACATTGAAATGCGCGAACAAGGTGTGAGTGTGTCTGATCTAGCTCGCTCGTGCAATCGCTGCACATCAACGATTTACACTATCCTCAAGAACAAGGATAAGATTAAAGAGGTAGATGCAAAGGGAGTGACAAGAAATTCTTCCCAACGGTTACGAATTCTCAACGATGTTGAAAGGCTGCTTCTCATATGGATAAATAAAAAGCAATTACAACGCGAAACAATTAACGAAAACACCATTTGTGAGAAAGCAAAACCCATCAATGACCGAAGAAACAGTATTTAAAGCTAGTCGTGGATGATTCGAAAAGTTTAAAAGAACCGGCATCCACAGCGTTGTGAGGCATGGTGAAGCTGCAAGTTCTGACACAAAGGTTGCCAAAATTACTCCGTTACTTCAGCCTATGGACCAGCAGGTTATTTCAAAAAACTTTACACTAAAATACTCTTAAAAACCTCACTCTCAAAGAGTTCAGGAAATATCACTTCCATATCGTCGCCTGCCTCAAAATGATTGGTAAGGCGTGGGAAGGGGTCACTAAAAGGACCCTCATTTCGACACACAAGATGTAGAGCCTCTAGTTAACGAGCTTGTATCTTTAGCCAATAGCATTGGACTGGAGGTAAATAGCAATGATATTGTTGAACTTGTGGAAGAGCATAATCAAGAGTTGATCTCTTCGGTGGTCAAAGAATTGCTCCGTCTATCATAAAAGATGTGGAGGTAAGTGTTTCAGACAAGAAAACACTAAAGGAACCATCATCTGATGCAATCAAAGAAATGCTAAAGGCAAATTTTGAAGCGCCGACGAAAGCAAACATTACTAGATGTTCTTTCTAGTAAAAAAGGATTAGGTATGTGTCATAAATTTATAAATAATAAACTACATGATTGAATCACGTTCCAGGTTTTTTCGATACGGTACAGAGGAAAAGATAAAGATGATTTCGTTTGTTAACAATATATGTATAAGTAGATAGTTATTTCTTTAAATAAACGTTATATTATAAAAGATGTTGAAATTTATTTGCAATGGAACGCATTATCAAATTTTACATTAATTTATATGTATAGGAAACATTGTTTCGCTTAACAAGTATTTCGCATTACGAGTAAGATTTTGGAACGAACTATGCTCGTTATGCAAGGTTCGACTGTAAAATGTCCACTATGAAAATTGTATAAAGAAAGAACTTTTATAAAATGTAAATCTATATGATCGCCTCAACCATACAGCCAACAAATGATCCTTATTTTATATCAAATATGATTCGAACATTTTTGATTCTTTGAAATGGCTGTATGTGGATTTTTCTGATTATGGATTCTAAGAAGCTGTTGAATGCTTGGCTTATCTTTTACACTAGAAATTGAACTAGAGTAACTAATCAAATGTGATTTAAAACACTCACAAACGACTTATTCTATAATTTATTATCTTAATAATTATTTTACTTTTTGATCTGCTTTTCAATATGTTCTCAATATAAACAAAACGATCCAACACGAATGTTCAGTATTATATAACTAAACATTTTTTTAAAAATTTTAAATTATTCAAAAATATATATTTTTTTGTTTCATTATTTAAAAGAAAGAATTGAATAAAGTTATAAATTTCAAATCAAACATTTAACAAATTCATATAGGTATATTTTACATTGCTCATATTTAATGAAAGATAAATCAAATTTTCCATGGAAGAATAATTTATGAACATTAATTGGTAACAAATATGAAATATTTAATTTCAACAAATTTCCGAAAGAGAAACGAAATTATAATTCAATTAAATATTAAATTTTAATCAATCTCTGATAATTATCCTGAGTAAGAATAATTAATTTCACATATTTACATATGCACAAACAAATTTATTTATTAATAAAACTATAACATCTCCCATCATTCACATTTTTATGAATGTTTATGAAGACAAGATAAGAAAATATTTTTTGAAACACACAAAACAGATAAAATGGAACACGACGATAATAATATTATCGATGAAATAAGGTTTAATATTAAAAACAATCACAATATTTATTTCCAACGCAATTCGCGTCTGTGTTTTAAGCTGTTTGTCTCTTACCGCTACGAATCTGGTCTTTACAAGTTATACTCTTGTGTTTGCGGTATCCGTTCAGCGATCGGTTCTCTTGGTTCCAAGTGTTTGACAGGCGAAGTAATGACGGTGGAGTGGAGTAGCGTGTCTAAAGTGTGCTCGTCTCCATTGCAATATCTACTAGCTGTATTCCTCAAGATGCAAGGCAGTACTTGTTTGAATTCTTTTCGAAAATTTTCGTTAAGCCACGCGTATAAAAATGGATTGTAACAGGTTGACGAAACGGCCATTGAGTGGGCCAAAAAGAAAAATAAATGAAAAAAGTCTCCGAATAATTCGTGGTAAAGATCATTGACGAAATTTACAATGTTTAAAGGAAACCAACAGATTCCAAAAATTGTTACCATAGCAATTAACATTCGATTTGTTCGTTTCTTTTTTTCTCTATCAGCTTCTTCGCGCCTAGCACTTTTTGTACCGGGTTTAGACTTTGCTCTTTGATTTAAACGTTTCGATATCCTCATATAACAATAAGTTATAATTATAAATGGAATTATAAATTGCATTACTAAAGTAGAAAAACCAAATGCCTTTTCAATGTATTCTAATGACCAATCTTCTTCGCAAACTTCTCGGCCATCATGAATTTTAACTTGCATACAAATTCCGTACGGTAAAGTCACTAACATTGAAAATATCCAAATTCCTAACAAGATAGTGAAACAAGTTGATAATTTCATACGTTGTCTTAATGGGTGTAAAATTACAAAAAACCTATCTATAGCTATAACAGTTAAAGTTAACGTGGAAACGTAAACGCTTGTTGCTTGTGCGTAAGCTAATAAATGGCAAATAACTTTTCCAAAAACCCATTTTCCAATAAACGTGTACAAAGGCGTAAAAGGTACTGCGAAAGCGCATAATAAAATATCGGATAGAGCTAAATTCGTTATGAACAAATTTGTTACCGTTTGCATAGCTTTGTTTGAATAAACTATGTAACAAACGAGTAAATTTCCAAATAATCCTAAGAAGAAAATGACGGCGTATAGAAAATAGAACACAATTTGTATCCATATATTATTTATAAGATCATTTTTTGAGGAGTCATCATCGTTGTTAATAATCATTGTTTGTTTTCTTCGTTGTTGACTGTTGTTAACTTCGATTATGTTTTTTTGACAGTTTTTAGTGGAATATTTACCGGGTTATGTTTTGAGCACTGTGTCTTCTTCTATCATGTAACCTGAAAAAAAAAGATTATATTAAAGAAACATTGTATTAACTTAATATTTAACTAACTACATAGTTTATGTTTAGAGTCACCACATATCTAAGTTTTTTAACTGTTTTGGTAAAAATACAACCAATCTTTTTCTAATTTAAAAGTGATACAAGAACAAAATAAATGTTTACCTATAAAATTAAACACGATTTTAATATGAAGAGTATTAGGTCAGTTTGAAACTATCATCATCTTATTGAAACAAAAAAGAAATTAAGAAACAAGATATGGAGCTATTAACACAAGATATTGGGAAAGAAAGTATTTCGCCGTGGAACGTATCCGTTCATATCGTAACAACGTAAAAGAACATAGCATTTAATGAACGAATGGTAGTCGAATTTCATCGTCTAAACGAACAGATGATTGAGGATAAGTACCCACTTCGAAACATCGCCGATATTTTAGATAAACTAGGAAGAGCCACTTACTTCATTTGATCTATCATCAGGATATCATAAAGTTGAAAAAGAAAAACAAAGTTTAATATGTCGTCCAACGTTCAAAGAATGCCGCTTGCTTTAAAACACGTCTCTATAACACTTGATGGACGAATTTTCATACAAAAATACGAAAATGAGGAAAATTTTGGAGCTATTACCATGCATACAGAGGTCGACAAAAAGAACACCCAATATATTGTAACACAAAGTTTAGGATCACAAAATGGAAATTGCCATCAAAACCAGAGAATATTGTAGCATACGCTTTGCACGTTTACCAACTGAAAAAACTTATTTCAAATACAGAGCTTATTTTGCTCTGTAAGGAACTGCTTGATAAGAAATACATCTCCATGATTCAAACTTATTTTAAATTTATGTAAAAATTGCATTATGACATTTAGCATAGATAGATAGTTGATTAATTTTTCTTGTCCATCGGACAAAAAACGATTCAAATTGAAAGCTTGCATGGTATGTTAGGGACACAAAACTTTCTCAGTTTGATAATGGCGTAATAATACATATTACGTATAATGACCAAAAACGCCCATATTTAGCGCTCGTCGGATAATTTATTCCCACTCCCCTCTGTTCACGCTCAATATGATTTGTGCTTATTTTACAAACAATCAGTCATGTACGTTGATGTCATGACATTTTGCGATCAAATTAACGTATTTGAACAAAATTATAGAAGATATTATAGAAGTCAGGCAATGGCGGAAAGCTTGTTATTACCTGATAGAGATTTGTTCAACTGCGATAATGAAGACGGAAAGTTATATGATGTAGATGTGATTATGAATGGGAAAATGTTTATAAAAAAATTATCCGCGCCCATCCTGTTAGCTCCGATCGTTGTTAGCACCGCCGGCTGTCCCAAAATGCTTAAAGATCTTTCAAACACAGAGACCCACTGATATCTACGAAGAGCTTAAGTTGTCACAGATGACACCAAGAAAATTGAACTTATAATATCCAATAATACCTAATTCCTACTATAAAGGCAATAGAACCAAATAATATAATTGAAGACTGAATGTGCCATTATCACCACTAAGCGCAATACCGCACTTTCCTCCCGAAACACTGTTGATATTCTCTTATTTGTAAATAAGTATTTAGCAATAGTAGATCCCCTTATTCGCCTTAGTCGCGCCATCAGGGTTACGAGCAAAAACTGTCACTGTAGAAGCTTTCTAAATAAGAGAAGCAAATACTCAAGAAAAACAATTTGAAGAGGTTAGAACTTGGAATATCGGAAATTATTTTATTATTATTCAACTTACACCTTACGTTATTATGTTTCATGTATTTTGTAGTATTATTATAATAACAAATAATAACAAAAACCAACGCATACGAGGCAGTTAATAGAACTAAAATGCTAATTTTTGGGGGTGTACCACAATTATGCACCGTTCTTACATTATTAGAATGATGATTGTATTATAAAATTGGATTTCTGTACAAACTAGAGAATTACAGAAAATATCATGACTTTAATAGTGATTTAGCCCATATTTTGGTTATTCGTTTCATATAACACAAATAAAATGTAAAATGTTTTCGAATTTATTGGTTCCGGGAGTAAATACAAGCTCCCGAGATGCAGTTAATGTATCGTGTAAAAGAAGTCTGAAACCATTTTGAGTTTGAAGTCATCAAACCAGATTCTTTAACTAACATCACAAAAGGATAGCCACGAGGTTTATGTAACACTTCTTGTATAATAACCCGAACGGACGGTCCTCATGCGAGAATACCATACTGTAGAATAGATTGAATAATTCCGTGGTAAAACAATTTGAGTTCTGTTTGAATTTCACACGGTACGCATATAAGATTCTTGTGTTTACCGAAAACATCGTATTTGAAAAACTTATCTTTATTTAGTACATAACGTTAATCGTGGTGTCTACTAACTCGAATTAGAAAGAAAGTTAAAAACTAAAAAGAAATACTTTGGGCCTAATCTAAACACGAGATTTATCTGGTCAATACCTAACGCACCATAATAATCAACCTTATACATAGAATCGATAGGTCCACTAATAAAACCACGATCTTCCTCAAAACTACTTTTTAATTTAGTAGGAATAAAGCACTAAAGCAATATCAACCATATTGGAAATTTTCTGCTCTTTCTATCGATGCATAACAATAATCGATTATGCGATTTTAAAGCCGTGTCTTTCTGCAAAAACAATTTGTCTCAAATTAAATCACTTTCGGTATAACAACTTTTTTATGGCACGGACAAAACTCGGATACCATATAGAATTGATAAGAAATTTTCCGCTATATGCAGTGGTATGTAATAGCAAGCGCTCACTTGATTGCACAAACAATTTTTCACACAAAAACCGCGTGTACCCGCTGTAACGCTAAATGTTTACGGCGTCATAACTTTCTTATATTATACGAACAATACTCCGAAACCATATAGAATCGAAATTTTCAGCGCTATACAGTGGTGTACAATGGTAATCGATAACTTGACTAAAAGATTGACCGAAAAGATTTAGTGAAAAGAAATTAAATCAACTAGAATAAAAATAATGGTATCAACAAATTCGAATTAATATTGTTCCAACTTTATTATATTATTTATTATCGTCTACAATTCTATAATTACGTCCATAAACCGCAATATGACAGAATTAAGAGGTCTTTAGAGCTACAGTGGACATGTTAACCACGCTTAGTACACATAATGTTTCTTTCTCAGTACAATGTTTTAACACTTTTTTTTATAACATTACGTATCATGTTCATGTGCAAGAGGGTTTATTAAAGCAATTTTATTTCCTCTTGATAGACATTCTGTATTGTAGAATGTTACACCACAATTGTAACAATCTTTTTGTTTTAGTCGTGATATTGATTTTAATGTCCAAGAAGAGATTCTCAAGAGAACACCAACGAAAATGGAGAATTCCTAATTAATTTTGCCACCAGAAAAGTTATGCTCATTAGCTCAATGTTCTGTCCACTTAGTTCTTTCTTTTATGTCACGCAGTGCCGTGGCTAATCAAATTGATCATGTCTTAATAGACAAAAGAACAGCAACGAGCAATGTAAACGTGAAACGCAAAGGAGGGCTTGTTGCGGCTCGAATCATCTTTTAGTTCAAACAACACTTCACATTGAGAAGATAATGCAGATGGAAGGGAGGAAGAGCTATGAAAGAGAGCTAACGAACAAACTGTCAGACACATGGGACCGGAGTATTGCAAAGCATTGGGATAAGCTCAAAACCGAAACATCAGAAACGGTAACGCGAACGATAGGCAATAGGAAGAAAAGGGAAACAAAAGAACAATGGCAGAAAAGAGCAGAAAAAGAAAAAACAGAGTGGAGGGATATAAATCGCGGAAACTTTCAGTAAGAATGCCGAAAGACAGATAATAATCGGCACACAAATGATGAAACGACCTTAGAAACACACTTCCAAACCTTACTTGATACATAAGACGAGGAAGAAGAGAGCCAAGTTTTAAGAATGATGTTTAAGAGGAATAAGATGAAGAGTTAGAACTTTCAACATTAGACGTGGTATTGATAGTAGTGCCCGGTATTGATAATCTTTCCCAGAACTGTATCCTATATCTCCTAAATATATGCTAGTGATAGACCAGAGTTGGATACAACAACATTTGCAGTAGAGAAATATCAAAAGTTATTCACTGGGAATACTCGACTACACAAAAAAATGGAGGATAAAATTAAATGAACAGCCAGGATACTATTGCCGCCTGATCATATCTGGATAATACGCACTCAACAACATGAAATAGTCTGCTGTTTGGAGCCAATGATATTATACCTGTATTGTATATAAAATAGGCTTTCTTACTACACTATTAGTAGCATTCAGGTGCAAAGTTATATTATTAGAGCCTATTTCAGCATTAACCTGTTCTTTACTAATATCGTACAAAGTGGATAAATGCTATGTGATCTCTTTACATCAGCATTACATCTAATATATCGTCTTCCTCTCTATCCAGTTTGTTTTATCGTTTCAGTTTTTATTTCCCTATAGACAGATGAACCTTTCACGTTTGCAAGATTCATGAAATGAACACTGCTTTTAGGAAAGTCTCGAAGGTGTTTCAATTTCATGCTAAAGGCAGTACAATTTTTCATATGTTCTCCAAGTAATACTTGTTCCATACCTTTCACATAAGTTAAGCGTTTATATGGATAAAATTTAAGGATGTACTGAAAAGTTTTACTTGCCACTGAGTATCCCCTAGTCGTGTAGTTAATACAAATGTTGGTGGTAAAAATGTCTTCTTTTAATATTTAATGTGCAAGTGGAATTTACAGTCTTTATTTTTTTATTCAACATTAACGACAATGCGTTTAGTATTTTATCATCAAAAAACTAAAATAAAAAACACATTGTAATAGAAAGTTGAAGAATATTTAAGTAATCGTCCTCCTAATAATTGAATAATCTTAGGTTGTATCATTTACTCCATTGAATGAACGTTATAATATATATCT